TGATATGCATCATTGATAAGGAATCAAAAAAGAAATCCTACCTTAGACTAATTGATTACTAATCAACTAGAAATACTAAGTCTGAATCCTGAATCCAAAAGCTTCCCCGCTAATTTTCTAATTCTCCCCATCCTTTCTGTCTTTTAGGTATTATATTTTGGAGCAATGTTACATAAACTTAAAAATTATACTTAATAATTACTACCATTGACTTCACTATGGATCACAACATTTAATGGGATCCACTACCTATTCAATGGTTGTGATTATCAAGTCTAATTTTTAAGTCTAATTATTAAGTCTATGCAGTATTACTCTATATTTTGAGGTGCTTAGTTCAGAAGACATGGCGCATGGACGAAAGAGGAGTATTTCTACTCGAGACTTAAAGCCAACGGGTGGAAAACATAAATTAGCCAAACCAACTTAAGTTGGTCGATTGAAGACCAAGGCATTCAACAATCTTACAATCTAGTGGACCGAAAAAATACTCTGGAACTCCTTTATCCTCCTGCTTCCCAATCCACGCTTACACTTCCATCCTCACTACTTCCTCACCACCTCAAAACCCTCTCGAACTCACCCATCTCCATCTATACGATGTCCTGATCTTCCTTATAATGCCAAGTTACACAAATTAAGTTCATTATGTAACATTTAATTCCTAGACGTTCACAATGTCCCACCAGATTTCTCTCCAACTTTTACCTACCATAATTACAACACACTATACCTTAATTATTGTTAAGAGATACTTTACTTACCAAATTTAAAATAGTAGGGGTTTACAATCCCCCTCCCTTAAAGAAAGTTGGGTTCACAGTCCCCCTCCCTAAAAGAAAAGTTTGTCCTTGAAATTAGATAAGGATAGCATGTACGCATGTTAACTTCAGCTTTCCAAGTAGCTTCCTCAATTGCAACACTTTCACTAATGTTATATACTTTCATCGTAGCACTTGAACGAGTCTCTCCTTATATGTGATTCCATCTGGGATTTGCACCTCCTCTTAATTAATGATAAGAGTAGCATCCAACTCGCACTTTTCCAACTTCGAAACATGAAATACATGATGTACTCTAGCAAGTTGAGGTGGCAAGGCAAGTTGATAGGTTGTTTCTCCTGTAAGTCCAAGAATTTCGAAGGTCCAATGTAATGTGGGGCTAACTTGCCCTTTTTCCCGAGTCGCTTGATACCCTTACGAGGTGACAACTTGAGATATTTGAAATCCCTTGTGCAAACTCTAAAGGTCATCTTCATTTGTCCGCGTAGCTCTTTTGTCATCTTTGATATGCCAATAACTTCTCTTTTATCATCTGAATCTTCTCAATAGTTTGACGCACTATGTATGACTCGTGTAAACTACTCCCCGATTCAATCTAACACACTGGTGATCTACAAGTTCTTCCATAAAGAGCTTCATAAGGAGCCATTTCAATACTGGATTGGTAATTATTGTTATGGGCGAATTCCACTAATGGTAGATGTTCCACTAATCAAATAATGTGTCCATGATTGACAACTCAATATCCTCACTTTTTTTAGGAAGGTAAATAAATTTTAGGGATGAATTTTTTTTTTTTAAAGTGGGTATATTTGTGAAACCCAAAGAAAGTATGGTTGTCGCATTTAAAAATCATGGGGTTTGGATGTAATTTGTTATTAAAATTTTTTGGGGTGGAAACTAGGATAGGTATTATTGGTGGGAGGCATATGTAAAGAATTAAAGTTGACTTGTCAAGCTTCCTACTTGTTACGGTTTGAATCCATTTCACTACAAACATATCACTTTAATAAATTATAATAAGCTAGTTGGACAATATAATAATACTAGGGATAACCCGTGCCTAAAGGCCCGGTGCAACTGAAAAAAATTGAACATTGAATTTAAACGCGAAATAATCAAGCACTGAACTCGGACACATACTAAAATAAAAGCCTAAATATGATGCGACAAATATATCAATCTCTTTATAATCATAATCAAATTATTTTTTTTCACATTGAAATCCAACTATGTACCAATTACCACAACACAGACGACTATCAAAGCATGTCATATGCACACTTAAAAAATTGAATTAAACCCATAAAATTTTTCAATCACAGACTACATTAATCACAAAACAAAATGACATAAACTACTTATAAACCAAACCATGTCATATGCTGGTTACCAAAAAAAAATCATAATATTAACCATCATCATGCCTAAACATGACTATTTACCAATTACTTAAGGCATCAAAACAATAATAACCATCATTATGCACGTCATAAACTCATAGTTGTGCCTAAACATAAATAAGATTAAAAGGTGACCACAAAACATCTACATGTTATTGTAAAATGGGTCATTTATCTGCACATTATTGTAAATATTATCTCTCCTTCACAACCTTGAATGTCATCGTATCAATCCAAATCCGCATCTTCCAAGTTGGGGAATGTATAACAATCTAGCATTTACAAAAATAGTTAAATTTAGTACACGACAGGAATTTTAAAATTACAAACTTGAAAATAAAAAATTAACTATAACAAATGAGTTCAATTACCTTTCAAACAACCCATCAAAAAAGATGTGTTGCATTTAGTTTTTTTTATCTCCTGCACCTTTTCATCCCAATTCTATAGATGAAATAACATAAATAAAATGTTTGCAATCAACAAAAAAAATTGCAAATGATTTATACCATTTCGTCTGTGTAGAATACAAAACATTATAACAAAAAGATGCGTGGAAATAAAGTTAAATAAATATGTGTTTAAACTGTATTTAACTCCCAAAGTAAATGCCCAAGTGTGTGTGTTGTGTTGTGAGTTTGCCAAGAAATGTTCTTTAGATACCATCTCATAAATTATGAGACGTCTTTGGATACCATCTCATAAAATTATATTAGGCGAATGTACCTTGTTTTTGGTGTCTACATATTTAATTTCCTCTTCAGTAAAAGCAAAAAGAGGGAAAACTAAATGCACTCTCCGTCAAAGGCCCACCTGACCCACAACACCTGCAATAGTTCAGAGGATCCCTTAGAGTGAGAAAGAACCATTGGACACACACACACACACATGTACATACGTATGTCATAAATAAGTAGAATGGACAAACAAATTATCCCATGAAGGTTCACCTAGTTGTTAATCAATAAACATTTCAAAAACCAAACCGAAGAAATAAAAACACAATTATGTACCTTCAAGGAAACTCCACAGAAACTACCTCGACTCCCACCATCCAAAACCACAACAGAAGGAAAAAAAACATAAAAGAAAAAGCAAAACATAAAAGTCTCCAACCTGTAAGCAAAGGACAAATAACAAATATCATTGTGCAAAACAATCCTTTCACTTTTTTCTTTTCTTCTTTTTTACTCTTGTTTTTGCACTGTATATTGAAAGAATTATTGAGAGAATTTACTACCCAGATTACTGTACAACTGTTAACATCCCCTCATTTATTTAGTCATAACGATAAATATTCAATGTGAAAACAGAAAACTGGACCACTAAGGGTCTATTTGGTGCCGCTATTTTTTTTTCCAATAAACATTGTTCAAGGTACGATAGAATGAAACTAAAAAACACATATTATATGAAGAACAAGTAGTTATTTCTAAACTAAAGTAAGTATCATTGAGTCTAAGCTCTTCAATTTTCCACAAAACATAGACCAAAAAAAAGAGAACAATACCATGAACTCGAAAAGAAAACAATTGCGCTAAACACGTTTTCAAAAAAAAAAAGGAAAAGTCACTTGATCTGTTGATGAATGGGTTGTAGGAAAAAAAATGGTCTAGCAAAATGGGTTGTATTGTAATTTTGAAAATGAGTTTAATTTTTATATCTTCTCCAATATTTGTAGATCTACTAAGCATACAGATTTCAGTCACAATCAAAAACAAAACATTACAAAACCAGCCTCCTCTGTACCAGTGAAACTCAAACCCCAGTGCCTTTGACACTCGAGCTTTGAAGCTCAAGCCCCAACTGGCATTGGGAAAGCAAACCAAAGGCTCTTAAGAAACAAACAAAACTCACATCCAAAATATATGTAACTTGAAGTAAACATACATCAAACCCCCCCAAAAAAACCTGAAGTTTCTCAGGACCATGTAGAGAAAAAGTGAAATGCTATGGCTTACCCGAGAAATGTAAATGGGAAGATGGGTTGTGCAGTGACAAAGAGTTGTGACAATTAAAAACCACAATTTCTTTGAGAAGTCACCAATAGATCATCATAACCAAACTCTTTCACACCCAACTGGTGGTTGCATAGTGGTCCTTATTGGTGGTATCGTAAGAGTTTTTTTGTGTGGTGCCAACAATGTGTCTGTTGTTCTTTGAGACATTTAGTCAAACACATGGTGGTAGTGGCTATTAGAGAATGTTGGAATAGATAAATAGAGAAATGAGAGAAGAACAGTGGAGGGTAGGTTGTTGGTGAAGGAGGCGCTGGGGCTGGGCTAGGTAGTTGTTCCAATTGAGGATGGGTTTTCGGGGCTGGAAACACGATGTGGGAGAGAGGAGAAGAATGGGCAAGTGAGAGAGGGGGAAGGAGAGAGAGAGGAGAAGAATGAGCTGCTGATATCACAAAGAGAGAGACATAGAGACATGAGAGACAGAGAGAGAGAACTGCTGGACTTACTTGCTTGGTCGGTGCTGATCGAGTTCACATCGGAAAGATCCAAAAATCTTTTTCTATTCTGTCTTTCATTTTTAATCTAATAGCTTTCAAAACCCAAATTTCCAGATCTATGACTTTGAATGGAATAGCATAAGAGAATAGTGGACTGATCAACGTGACAGCTTCAAACAAAAAACCCAAGTCAAAACATAATAATGGAAGTTCATCTAGTCACGCTAGCTTCACAGAAATGGAATTGGAAGGAAAACACAAACTGAGAGAGCATTTAAGCTTTGAAAATTGAGAGATGGAACTCACCCACTCAGTGAGTTCACTCGTCTCTCTCACTGATTCTGGGCACTTCGTTTCTAGAACTTCTTGCTCGCAAAACTCATGGACACTATGCTTTTAGAGAGAGGCGTGAGAGAGATAGAGGGAGAAGTGAGAGGGAGAGGCGTGAGACAGAGGTCTGTGTTGGGAGAGAGGCGTGAGAGAGATAGAGGCAGAAGTGAGAGGGAGAGGCATGAGACAAAGGTCTGTGGTGGGCGGGAAAGAAAGATTTAATACTCGTTGTTGACCGTTAGATCATAATTTTTTAGATGATCTGAACCGTCGTTTATGTTGAGATTACATTGTCCGTTGGATGTATTTATGTTTTGTCTCAAAACGATCTGAACCTCTCTTTGTTTTTTAGATTCGAATTTCGTTCTATTTTATTATATAGATATCTAATAGCCTTGTCAAGAGTGTGTGTGTGTGTGTGCACGTGCGCGCTTGGTGTCCTAGACAACTAGCTAGGTGTCAAGTGTGTGTATATTAGATATATATTACTTCATGGGGAAGGCCGGTTGGAGGTGGAAGGATTTACAGCTAGGGTGGGGTGAAAAAAACAAGAAACAACCGAGGAAAAGTCAAGGGAAAGAAGAGGAGGTGGGCTAATGTAGGGAAACTAGTAAGTTTAGTTTTCTTTCTAGATTTGGTAGTGATTTGCTATAGCAAGTAAAAGTGGCTGGACGTGTTCCATGGTTTAATTTAATACTAGTTTATTTGAATAAAGCAGAAAGGCATTGGTACTTGTTGATCTTTCCTTTGGCTCGATTAAAACTTTACGTAGTAAAGCTAGTTTTGATTAAATGCTTAGAATTTTGATTATCAATAAACCGTGAGTTCATTTCCTATAGAATCAAAACAAAAAACTTCCATTTGAGATAGCATGGGAGGTTTGGATCTTAAAGTAACCAAACCCATTTGCTGCTAAGCTTAGAATTGACGGAATCAAAGTTAACTGTTGGAAAGGAAAATAAGTAACTCAAACTTAAGCTAAATTTTAGAGTCTTAACTTAGTAAGAAACTAAGTTGCTGAAATTATGTTTTAGTTGTTGAAAATTATTATAAGGGCTGAAAAAAGGGGGTTGTCATTTAGTTTCACGGCTGAAATAACTCACTTAAATCATGGATTCCGAATGATGACAATAAAGGAATTGAACATTAAAAATAAAAATTAAAGCATGCATACATGCACTCATGCATCTAACTCATTATGTTGGAAGATTATCTTAGGTGCAAAGTAGACCGCGTCAGCTTGTGTCGCTAGTAGTAGAACCGGTGCAAAATAGTGAGTTGGTGTGTGAGGTGTTTAAGCTGAGTATACTATGTTATATAGTTTGGAAACTAAACTACTAGTATATACCTGGCTTATGAGTATAATTTTTGCTAGTTGGTGGATTCCTTAATTGTATTTGTAAATTGTAAAATGTCATATGGATCGTGATAATTTTCTAAAAAGGAGTTGCTTAAAATGTTGAGGTTTTGGCATATATGGGAGAATTTGGAGAGGAGATTACTTGTCTCACCGGGTAAAACTAGGAGGCATGTTGGAGCACTCCTACCACTAGGAATAATGAATGGCCCTCTACTCGGTCAATGTCAATGGATTGAACAGAGGTGTGAGGTTATGGTACCGTCTCAACTTGGTCGTGGGAAAAATGACCCTTGTTGTGTGAATGAAATGTTTTGAAGTTTATTTATATTTTGTAAAAGGGAAGTGTACTTTGACATGAAGTAGTTGCTAATAGCAATTTGATTTCTATGTTTTATTCCTAAATATTTGTTAAGGGTGATGGTGGGGTTGTTTGTTGCTCAAAACATGATACATACTTATTTTACTGTTTTCTTATTATATGATACTAGTATGCTCACTAAGTGAGTTGTAAAGCTTACACCTCAACAATTAATTTTGGTGTTTCAGGTGTTCAAAGTCTTGGTTGATACACTATACAATCTAGAGTTGTAAGGAAGGACGATGCAACATAGTAAAAACGTCTTAGGTGACTCCGGGTTGTTTGTACTAATTCTCTTCGATAACGAGAGGGAGAGAGAATGCTTGTTAATATGATGTATAAATTTTGGTTTAAAGTTTTGACTTGACTAAAGAAATGCACGTTCAAGTATAAACAATCGAGTTGTAGTGATAACTCGGTTATGTTCGAGATCAAATCCTTAAGGAACTAATGGGCGTTTTCTTAAAAAGAATTTCACTAGAGACAAAGGCATGAGAATGCTTAAAGAGTGAGAGATTGTGTTGTGCAGAGTTGTATGCTAGAGAAAATGTAAAGTTGTTAACGATGGTAGGTTGTGGTGGCAGTGGTGGGGGTGATGAAGGTGGCGGGCAGTGGTGGGCGGTGGGCAGTGGTGGTGGTAGACAGTGGTGGGTGATATTAGTGGTCGTGGCAGGCGGTGGTAGCTGATGGTTGTGGTAGTGAGCAACAGTTGTGATGGTGGTTGTAACACTCCAAAACCCACCTTAGACGGCATTACAATCTATAAACAATTCACATCATGAGAGCAACTAAATAAATTCGTCATTTAAGAAATTTCATTCATCAAATATAACATTTACACTATTATCCCAAAAGAATAGGTCAACCATGGCCATTACATCCCAAAAATAATGTAATTGACTATGATATTTATATCCCAAAAGAATCACATAACTTGCAGCAGAATCACACAAAAAAGGTCTTTACATTATCTCAAAAAAAATTTCCTAGTCTAGCTCTTAGGAGAGTATAACTCTAGACATCCACCTCGAGATCCACGAGCCCATCTAGTGGAGCTTCCCAATGTGTCGGCTCCTCAACCCCGAGTTCTTCTTCTAGACCACAATCTTAAAAATATAGTTTGTAGGGAGTGAGCACTAAGCTCTGTAGCAACATTCCTCCCAAACTCGAATAAGATTTAGAAAAGCATATAAAAATGGTCGGTCACCTTTCAAAATAGCATATATGAATTTTGCAATAAAACATGGACATTTAAACAGATCTCAAATTTTAAGCAACAATAGTAATTTAATGCATAAGTGAAACCAATATATAACTAATAATCTATTCCAACATAAACCTTTTCTCCGAAGTTCTTGTTGAATCTCATACTTCCCAAGATTCTTGTAGAAATCATTTCTGGTAGAATAAACAATAACTCATAACTTGAACATTTCACAACAATATATACATGTATCTCAACCATGATGAAAGACATCCACATGAATCAACGCATTGAGTAAAATCTAGCCCACACACACACACACCCAAATCTTCTCAAAGATATCCAACCTTTAGGAAGGGCGTATACTATACTAATGGCAATGACGTATCCAACCTAGGCATTAGTATACTAACTCTCTGCCTTGATACCCGTGAGCAATAGTGGTTTAGTCTTACCAAAGCACTAACCCCACTACGAGTGGTAGGAAAAGTTCAAACCCACACGGAGTATGAATATCGCCTACCCTCTCTACGATATCTCGTCAAAGGCCACCCATGGCTCTCCCACACTCATGAGAGATACAATACCAAACTCAATTTATCAATTTACAAGTATATCTCAAAAATTCCCAAATTTATCATGTGACAATTCTAAAACCAATTAAGAAAAATACAAGAGATCACAACAACATCATTTTATTACTCAACACAAAGCACTCTAGTTTCGAAATCAATAATAAATGAAGAATTTAAGAAGAAAATTCATCACTCTCCAAAAACTAGGGTTTTAAAGCAAGAAAATAGATTTCATGGGTATTCAACCCTAACTTGTGTAAAACATGATAATAATTGCAAGAAGACCAAGAAAAGATTATTTCATAGCAAATATATAAGATTTAGAGTCAAAGAATACATATATATTAGCCCTAGCATCAATGGACAAGAATGGAAGAAAACCCCCTACCTTTCTCCTTGGTTTTGGTGTGAAGGACAAGAAGATTCGATCTTTAATCACCTTTAGAACTCTTGTTTTCCCCTTCTTTCTTCCTCTCTAAGTCTTTCTATTAGGGTTCTAAGAGGTGTGGGGTGAGAGTGGTGTGAAAGAAAGGGAGTAAATGGAGTGAAAATGGGGTTTTAAAACATAAAAATCCCGACTTTTTAACTGTCTAACGGTAGTTCGTATCAGGGTTCTGATAGTTCAGATATATGGGACAGCGTACTACCTGTTGAGTTACCGGTAGTTCGGATCTACTGGACCTTTACTACCTGTTGACTACCGATAGTTCGAATCCACTAGCCACTTACTACCTGTTGATTGTCGGTAGTTTGGATCTATTGGACGTTTACTACCTGTTGACTACCGGTAGTTCGAATCCATTGAACAGCATACTACTGGTAGGTTCTGCCCAAATTTGCCTATTTCCTCTATTTTTATTTCAAACTCATTCCAAATCCTTCCAAATCTAACTCAAGCTTATTCAACATGCTTTTGTACATCAAACCTAGTTGGTACAAGTTCTATTACAACAATTTTATATATTTGCAAGCTAAACTAAGTTTTAACTACTATTTCCTCAAATTTTCATATTAACATTTCCAAAAGAAATAATAACTTGCTATATAAACCTATATACAAATATAAAGATAAAAGGGTGGGGTTTACAGTGGTGGTTGTGACAGCGGTGTGGTGGCGGCGGCAGCGATGGTGGTGGTGGTGGTGGTGGAGGTGGCAATTGTGGCTGTGGTGGTGATGGTAGTGTTGGGGTGGCGAAGGTGGTGAGCAGTGGTGAATGGGTGGCAGTGATCGTGGTGGTGGTGATGGTGGGCGGTGGTGATGGGATGACAGTGGTGGTAGTGATGAAGTATTTTGTGGAAAAGTCATTTTAAGGAAGTAAAAGTTTTTTTTTTTTACTTTTACTTATTTACTAATAGTTAAAGTACTTTAGAATTATTATGAAGTAATTAAAATAAGTTGTCCCAAACACTTTTTTTTTAATGTGCTTATGTGAAACCATAAGTTCTAAAAACACTTCTAAAAAGTCATCTCAGAGAAAATATTCAGTACTTGGTAGGTATCAGACTATCATTGACAGCTGGTACTCAGCACCAATCAAGAGATGCCACCTCAAGATAGATTCTCCTTCAATTTTTCTTTCTCCACTGCCTACCTTGAGGTGGCATCTCTTGATTGATGCTGAGTACCAGCTGTCAATGACAGCCTGGTACCTACCAGTACTGAATATTTTCTCATCCCAAACACACTCATAAACT